GAAACAATTTCAGGTGCCGCCACAAAAAATAGTGGTGTCTCTAGTGAGCCTGCAATTGCATGCACCAACTTTGTTTTACCGCACCCTGGTGGGCCATGAAGAAGTACACCGCATGGAGGATCCGCCCCAAGACGGCTAAACAAATGAGGTGAGCGGATGGGCAGTTCGATCAATTCTTTAATAATCGGTATCTCTTTTGCGAGTCCACCCATCTCATCAAGCGTAACTTTGGGGATGATTCCAAGTCGTTCAATAACTTCCTCACCATTTGCAGCAGTGGCCTGTATCCCTTCCTCTCCGCGGGAACGTTTATTTTTCCCTGTTGTACTTCTCTTGTCGACATCATCACGTTGATTTCGTCTGGTGGAAGGGTGCACCTCATCAGCATAATCCCTTTGGCGCTGCTGCTGCTGCTGCTGCTGGCCATGATAGTAGCGACCATTCTGTCGCTGCTTCATCATGAGACGCCTCATCTGACTAGACATTCGCCACTTGGCCGCCCCTACGCGCAGTGGGCATAAAGAAGGATAAGGATGAAAAAAAAAAAAAAAAAAAAAACAAATAGATGAATCTTCGGTGGCGGTGTTCCCGCCCTCCCTCACGTGTGTTTGTTTGTTTGTTTTCGTGTGTGTGTATGGAGTAGGATAAGCAGAAGAAGGATGGAGGGTGCGTAAGAATTAAAAAAAAAAAAAAGAGAGAAATTGACTCCTTCACTTCCTACAGACAAACACAAAGAGAACCAGACAATTCCCACCACTTTACAAACAATAAAAAAAAAAAAGAAAAAAACCTCCGCCACAAACTTTCGGTTCTTCGCACCGGTGAATTATAAAAAATAACAACAAAAAAGGACGCGTCATGCGAATTCCTTTTATTTTGTTGTTGCTGTTGTCTTGAAGGGGAATGGCTGAAGAAGTCGTCATGCCCGATGGACGAAAAGTCAACGAGAAACGAGGACGGCAACAAAAGAAAAAGAGAGGCTCAAAAAACCACCACATGCAGACCACTCCGCGGAAGAAGCAATAATAATAATAATAATAACATCCAATTAATTTATTTACTTTTGGATTTTTTTATTTTTTTTTTGGTGCTGCGCCCCCTCCCCCTCTTCGTTCCTCCCTTCATCCCGCCTCCAATCCCGCAAAATTCCCCACAACTCCGACGATAAATTACTAATTTGCAGGTCTTCATCCTTGGTTTTCCCACAGCCAGTCCTCCTCCATATTGACTTTGCTCTTGCCTTCATCCTTTCTTCTCTTCATCCTCTCACTTGTGCCCCCTACCGCCACTCCACATCCGCAAGACTCTTGCCCTCTTGCAGAAGGTCCCACAGGGGCGACATCTCACGCAGTCGCTCCACGTTCCGGACGCATTCTTCAATCGTCACATCAATCTCCCTTTCAGTGGTGAAGCGGCCAATACCAAAGCGAATGGAAGTATGCGCATTTTCCGCATCAATGCCAAGCGCCCGGAGAACGTAGCTTGGCTCTAAAGAAGCGCTTGTGCACGCACTTCCGCTTGACACGGCCACGTTCTTCATTCCCATCAAAAGACTCTCGCCTTCAACACAGGAAAAACTGATGTTAAGGTTACCAGGATATCGTTTTTCCAAGTCCCCATTGACCGTTATGTGTGGCAAACGACTTTGCAAACCATTCAGAAGACGCTTTGAAAGTCGTGAAATGTGCGCAGAGTCTCGCTCCATTTCCACCTTTGCAATTGCACAGGCGGCGCCCATCCCAACAACCTGCGCCGTCGCCACAGTGCCGCTCCGCACACCACGCTCTTGACCACCGCCACTGACGGGAGAACGCACGCGTACTCGGGGACGCCGACGCATGTAAAGAGCACCACATCCCTTTGGCCCATAAATTTTATGGGAGGAAAGAGACATAAGGTCTATATTATCACGCTCCACATCAATGGATACTTTTCCCAAGGCTTGTGCGGCATCCGTGTGGAAAAGAACTTTTTTATTACGACATAAATTTCCAATCTCGCTGATAGGTTGAATAACACCAATCTCATTGTGTACGTACATGCAGGAAACGAGAGCGGTTGTTGGACGGATAGCTTCCTCAATTTTTTGTAGATTAACAAGACCGTTTTTCTCCACTGGAAGATACGTTACCTCAAAACCGTCCATCTCCAAATAACGACATGAATCCAAAACACACTTGTGCTCCGTCTGAAGTGTTATTATGTGATTCTTTTTGCTCTTGTTGTAATATGCCACACCCTTGATGGCGATGTTATTAGACTCGGTCGCACCGCTGGTAAAGAAAACCCCCTTGGGGCTGGTTCCAATAAGATCTGCCACCTCTGCGCGAGCCTTCTCCACAGCATCTTCCGCCGTCCATCCGTAACGATGTGTCCGACTGTGTGGATTCCCGTACCGTTCCGTCAGATACGGCAGCATCCTGTCAAGCACACGTGGATCTAACGGCGTGGTGGCCTGAAAGTCCAGGTAGAGTGGCCGTGTGTCACATGTGGATGATCGCACGGAGCTTCCTGAAGAAGATACGCCCGCGGTTGCTGCTGCCGTACTCGTAACGGACGCGGCAGCAGCCGTGGTTGTTGCCTTCGCCGCTCCAAGCAGGCCACAAACTCCACGAAACATTTATTGACGCAACAAACTAAAAAATTTTCTACAAGCAAACAACAACAACAACAAAAATGCAGCAAAACAAACAAAAACTAACACGTGCAACAGAAAAAAAAAAAAAAAAAAAAGAAAAAAAAAAGACAAGAAGAAAAACACAATAGTTACGTACACACAAATATATATTTATATACTGGATAGTTCAATAAAGCAAAAATGACGCCATTCCTCACAGAGACACGCAGAGACGAGCAGGTATAAATATCCATAAGGATTCTCAATAAAAGGGAAATAAATAGAAAACAAACCAGGACGTGCAGAGTCCCAACAAATTTTACCAAGAAATCTCATCCCCCTCGACGCTGTCATCCACCGACACCAATTCGTGGAAATTGTCCACAAAACCCATCGCCGACACAACATTCCGAACGGCTTCGCTAAAATTTCCTAAATGTTCTTTGCTATTGAGGGAAATTGCATTTCCGTTTCCCCCTAAGCCACGCCTAGCCTGAAGGAAACGGGCATCTATTCTGGAGTACAAAGTTTCTTCCTTGTTAATTTCAGCGGCGTTGGCGCTCAAATAATCCTCATGTGCCCTCCACAAAGCAAGATCCGTGATTCTAAGAAATTGACGGTAACTTAAACTTGGTGGATAGGCACGTATCACCTCCTCCGCAGTTACCACTTCTGAAGAAATCACGGCATAGTGATGCAAGAGCGGCATAAGGTCTTTGCGTTGTATCAAACGAAGCGACAACAGCAAATCGTATTCATTACCATCCATTAATTCATACATGAATTCCTTCTCTGATGTCGTCAAAATCAGCAACCGTTTAAAGGAGGAAGAGGTGCCTTTTTCGGCCCCATGCATACGGGAAGGCACATGTGAATGGGTAGCCGTTCTGAACTCCTGGAGAGCAAGTTTCAAAGTTCCCCCATCCATTGGACCATTGTTTCGAAAGTAATTCTCAACATTCTCAATAACGATACCGATATCCCCATTTGAGTGAAGAGCATTCCGCAAAGCAGTCAGAATTTCATCCAAAGGACTACCATGAGGACGGTTGTGCAGCACGCCGCCTGTTAGATATGTCTTACTGTCAAATTCGCTAAGTTTTAGCAGTTCACGTGCAAGCACAGTCTTTCCTGAGCCGGGTGGGCCGTAAATAATTACAATAGCGGCGTCCACAAGACGACTTTGATGGATACTCCGCAGCAACCGCCGCGTCGCCTCCTTGTTCCGACTAAAAGAACCGTCATAGTCGACCAGTGGAACACCTGCCCCATTGTAAGGATCATTACTTTCATCGCCCAATATTTCCCCTGGTGTAGTCTGCCATTTGCTCTTCAAGATATCCCGAAGTGCAAGATCAAAATCTCCATTAGATATTTGAAATTCCGCCACCTTGCTCTTCTCGTCGGAGTCAGCATCATGGCTGGTTTCTGCCAAAGCTGTACCCAGAGAATCGCGATACCGTATTAATGCATGGCTAGAGGCCGCTCTGACAAGTCCGGCAATATCGGCACCCGAAAAACCCTCGGTGCGGCTCACCAAGAGGTCCAGTTTCACATCTGGTGCAAGCTGGTGGTTTTCACGCAACTCACGTGTATGAATAAATAGCATGTCTCTACGTCCCTCACGATCAGGAAGAGGAATTTCTATTACCACCTCAAATCGACCAGGACGAAGCAACGCACGGTCAAGGACGTGCAATTGATTGGTAAGTCCAATAACAAGAATATTGGCTGCGCCCTCCAAGCCGTCCATGAGAGTAAGCAGTTGGTTTGTCAACCCATCGTAAACAGCCTTGGCAGAACCCTCATCGCCCGACTCCCCACGACGTCTAAAAAGTGCCTCAATCTCATCAATAATAATGGTGTGCAGTTGCCCTTCCATCACGTTTTTCGTTCCATCACGTCTCTCTCCCATCCCATTATCGTCTACATCAGCAGCACTCAAGAAAAGAGCTCGCAAGTTTTTTTCGGAGTCCCCAACGTACTTTGAGAGAATGTCAGCACTATTTACTATCGTCACCTTCGCCCTGTCATCAAGTAAGTTTGCAATTGTGCGAGCAATAAGAGTCTTTCCGTTGCCGGGCGGGCCGTGTAGTATCACCCCTCGTACATGAGGCAGTTTAATCGTCTTGACCACACCACGAAGAGAAGGGAGTCGAGTAAGAAGCACCCGACGGTATAATGTGTGCAATTGATTCCCCAAACCGCCAATGCCAAGCGAAAGCCATTGACTGTGGACATCTACCGACTCATCATTGTTCTGAAAAAGAAGCTCCAGTGGGTCTTCAGACATCTCCTGAAAAGTATTTTCCTTCACTCCAAGGTCCGCATTCTCCTGCGCAAGACATAATTGCACGGAACGACTCAAAATTCCAATTGTAACGCCTTCCTTACCTCGAACGTTTAATCCACTCTTCATCCCTGTTTTCTTCAACTGAAGTTCCAAATCCATCCACATGGCGTCTTGTGTGAGTCGCTTCATCCACTTGGGTTTATGATGAAGGACCTCCAAAGGGTTAGGGAGTGCACATGTCAAAATCTGCTGTGGAAATATTTTCGACGGCCGTACATTGACGCACTCCATCATAATCAAGTCGCATTCATTTTCTCCCTCCTTGCAGCGAAAAGGAATTGGAGCGTGTTCCTTCAGCAAAACCCTCAGCGGCGTGCCTTGTGGAAAACCCCGTCCACGAATCGTAAGTGTCACTGGACTCTTCGAATCTCCGTCTGCAAAGCATCGGTACGTCTCTCGGCTTCTACCGGGTCGCGAAGGTCGTTCGCACCCACTAATTGCGAGAAGCTCCAGGGCTCCTGAGGTCTGATTCCCACCACGCCAGTCCGGGAATGGCAGTGCTACAGGAGCTTTGGCGGCCCTCACGGACACGGACGTGAAAAAAGGAATTATGGTAAAGAAATAAATGCATAACCAAAATAACAAACAAGACGTGACTCTGTGCGGCATTTTTGGATGTGGTCTAAAGCCTTAGTTCCTCTTCGCAGAAAACAATTTTAAAAAAGCATATATATATATATATATATATAGAGAGAGAGAGAGAGGAAAGAAGAGGACAGCAACTAAAAAGAATAATCTTCTGGGCCGCTGGCCAAATCCTGAGTTCATCAATAATAGGAGAAAACAAACCCGATAGGAATAGGAAAGAGATAAATGAAATAAGAGTGGGGATTCACCATATCCTCGAAGTTTAAAACCAGGTAAGTGTACATCTACATATATATATATATTACTTACGAGGTAGCAAACTTTGGGGTCCTCCAGCCACAAGAATCTCACAAAGTGGGTGGGTGGGAAAATAAAAAGTAAAAATGGTTAAACCTTTTCTCATAATCACTCATATTTTGCTCCAACACATTTCCTTCTTTTTGTCAATTCGTCTTCTGTCTTCAAGCCAAGCCTTGGACGCTTCTTTGGTTCTAATGGGTATATAAGGCAATTCCCTTCCGGAGGTCATCAATTCATGCCATGGGACAGCTACCGGTACAACGCCAGTGGACCTCCTCCCTCTCGTATTATTCGTTTCCCCACACCCTTTTTGTTCCTTCTCCCTTTTTCCCTCCTCACATCCCTTTGACTACACATCCTACATATTTTTCTTCTTTCCTTGCGAAGCTACCGTCCTCCCTGAAGCGGCAATAGGAAGGCGACAACTGCACTGCAAGATTATCGCTGCCGGTACGATGATCCACAATGAGCTTGGCAGCACAAACATCATTAGTGTGTCAAATGTGGAGTTGTGCTTTGTATACTTCCCACCTTCAATAGCCTCCAACGAAAAATACATCAGCGTCTTGTAGAGAGTCATGACACCCACAACAAGGGCCAGTTTGAGGCTTGCAATGGCTTTCCCTCTTTCAGCGAGCAGAAACGCAAAAAGACCAAGTGCAGCCTCCAAAACATTCATCAAGCTCTGCATCACAACGAAGGCATCGTCGTTTGGAGCGTACCGACGATCGTAAGTGGAATACAACACCCATAAATTGAATGGTGGTGTGCCTGCTAACGGATGTGGCACACCAGTTGAGGAGGATCGGGTAAAAACAAAAGTGGCATCGATTAAAAGTAAAGGAGCCGTTAAAATAAACCACAACTTGGCAAACAACGGTATTCCCAAAGCCGCCATCGTCGCGCTGTACGGTCGTTTCACTCTGCCCTTCCAGGTTTCCAATTTTTACTCGGCACAAACAAAGAAGAAGAAGCTCTTCCAACTGGTCTGTGGCGCGTCTCTTAGGAATATTTATTTTCTCAGGGGAATAAGGAAAGTTCCATCGAGAAGTAAACAGAGAAACACACACACACACACACACAAAAAAAAAAAAAAAAAAAGGCAAAAGCAACAGGAAGAGACCAAAACTTCAAAACAAAAATAAATTAAAAAATTTTCAAAACAGCAGAAACCGCAAAGAAGAAAAATAAATAAATAAAAATGGCGGCGCCCTCCCTAACCCTCTCGCTTCACTTCCTCCAGCCGACCGCCAACTCTATTTGGCTCGCCCCCCCCTCTTCGCATATGTTTGCATGGGGGGGGGGAGGCACGCAGCACAGCCCTAAATAAGGAGACGCAAGAAGAAAAATAACAGGGGAGATTTACAGGAATAAAGCAAAACAAAAGTCAAAAAAAAAAAAAAAAGCAAGGACCGAATCATCAAAGAAAAAAAAAAGCACTCGCTGCATCTTCCTACATCCACTCGCTGTTCCTCCTACACACCGAGCACGTCTTCGCAAAGGTCTCACTCTAACGACTTCGCAATGACTGTTGCTGCGGTGCCTGATGTGCACTCTCAACTTCCCCCGCTTTCTCATCTTCGTCTATCGTCAACCCCATCATAATCGTCTTTCTCATCCTATTAATTATCATCATCGTCGTCGTCGTCGTCGTCATCATCATCATCGTCGTGATCATCATTGTCTTCATCATCGTCGTCGTCGTGGTCATTGTCTTCATCATCGTCGTCGTCGTGGTCATTGTCTTCATCATCGTCGTCATCATCATCGTCGTCGTGGTCATTGTCTTCATCGTCGTCGTCGTCATCATCTTCGTGGTCATTGTCTTCATCGTCGTCGTCGTCATCATCTTCGTGGTCATTGTCTTCATCGTCGTCGTCGTCATCATCTTCGTGGTCATTGTCTTCGTCCTCGTCGTCATTGTCTTCATCGTCGTCGTCGTCGTCATCATTGTCTTCATCGTCTTCTTCGTCGTTATCAACATCATCACCTTCACTCTCGTTCTCATCGCCATGCTCATTGTCTTTCCCATGCTCCCCATTTGCTTGGGCAGCACCCTCCTCTGGGTCTTCTTTCTCAAATTCCTTTAATTCACCCGCTTTATCTTCATTAAAGTCCTCCTCCTCATCGTCATGCTTTTCATCGTGGTCGACAAAAAGTGCGGCAGGGGTAGCTGGGGAGTGTGTGCTATCGTACGGGATATCCACCTCTTCTTCTACTTCCCTCAGATCCACGGAGTCTTCATTCACGTCCTCAGGTTCTATCACCGAGGTCCCTTTGCTGAAAAGAGGTGTCGCAGCAGCACCAAGAGCCACACCAGCCAATCCGGAAGCAGCCGCAAAGCTCAAGTCCCCAACACTATTATCGCCTCCCTTTGTTGTTTTTGTTGCCACTGACGATGGTGTCGCCATCGGCGTTGTTGTTGCTGAATCCTCAGATAACGTCTGCGCTTTTGTTGTGTAAAGCGATTCGCTCCTGTAGCGTGGCACAGGTTGCAATTGTGAACCATTATTTCTGTTATAGGATTGAATGCCTCCTAGACGATGCTTCTGAAGGATTTCCAAGGCCACTCTTGAGTGGTACTGGTGCTCAATGCCAAACATATCGCCGAGCACTGCGTCAAGGTGCTTCATGATAAAAATCAGATCCTCTCCCTTTACAGTTGCCCGAAAGTTGCGTCGATCGTCAAGTTTGTACGTCGCCCCCGCGCGGCCCTCATCATTTTCATAATCATCATCTTGAGGCAGCTCATCGTCCACAGACGCCGACTGATTATTCGTCTGCACCTTCACTGTCAACTTACCAGCGAGTGAATAGGCCGAAGGCAATGCGGTTAAAGCCCCATTTGCCCCCTTTGCGCATCTGTGCCCAGAGTCACCTGAGGAGGGGATTGCGACAGGTCCAAGATACAGCGACGCATGTTCTCTAATTAACTCCACATGCGGCGCCTTCCCCTCCAGCACAGCCAAAAGCTGTGCAACGTTATATGGCCTAAGAAATACACGGCCAAAAAAATAATCTGCAGGGGTAGGCGCTGACACAGGGAGTAGTTTTGAGTTGGGCTCTGCCGACGACTCGCCCTCGGTCCCATCGGGAGCTTGCACGCTGAGCACAAGATGTTTTTGGCGGTTACTTTTCCATCGCCAGAGCAGCACCGCTGGGTATTTCATTTCCCCTTTGCTGATCTCCACACTGGTTCGGAGATCCCGAAGAAGAATGCTGCGGACGCTTACGGCGGGTGCGGCCACGCCAGCGCGACGAGAAATGCACTTGCGCCACATGAAGCTTTTTTAATTTCACGGTTACTCAACAGGCACACACACAAAAATAAAAAATAAAAAATAAAATAAAAATAAACTAAAATAAATAATAATAATAATAATAATAATAATAATAATAATAATAATAATAATAATAATAATAATTTAATTTTATTTGTGTAGGTATTTGTATCTGACTAGTATCTAAATGTTTGGGCCAAAGACACTCGCACGATATAACGGAGCCACCGTTAATTCAACTTACTTTAGTTAATTTATTTGTTGCCAAATACACAAAAGTTACTTCGGCATACATCCAAATGCACAAGAGGGGGGAAAAGCATAAAAGGGCAAAAAGAAGAAAAAAAAAAAAAAAAGGAAAAAAATTCCCCAAAGAGAAGAAAACACAACGATAATAATAATAATAAAGAATAATAATAATGGCCTCCCAAAGAAAAAGGATCGCACATGCACGGGGAGGAAAAAAGAAAAAAAAGAAGAGAGAGAGAGAGAGAAACAAAAAAATAAAAATAAAGACACACCGGTCAAGGATCGGCAGCACACCTGACAGGAAAAAAAAAGGAAAAGGGACGGCTGCAGCAAACAGGACTGAGCCCCAAAACAAAACACAAAATGACAGACGGAAGAACAACAAAAAAAAACAGTAAAAAATGGGAGATCATCCCACACTACTTCCTCTTTTCGTTTTTTTTTTGTTTCCTTTGTCCCTTCCCTTCCCTTCCCTTCCGTCCTCTCCCTCCTCCCTCCTCCGTCTCTCCCGGGCGTTAATTTCTCTTCACCGTCATCCTCGGTACTCCCCTCCCGCTCACCGACGCTGCGCCGAGTCCGTGTTCCCCCTCCTTTGTGGTCTGCCGGAAGCGCTCCCCACAACGGTGTTGGCCTCCTGTGCTCCACCATCGGCGGCGCGCGCAGCGTAGTGCTGACGAAATCCAAAGCTCTCCGTGAGTGCACTTTCCAAGAAGTGCTCCAGTGTCACGGCAAAGTGCTTATCAAAGTTTACCGACCAATCCTCCATCTTCTGAGACGCCACACGATGGATCTGACCGTGCAGGCGGTAACCTTCTGGCACCCTTTCAAAGACCAAACTGTAACCCCTGTTCGTCATTTCGTACTTTGAAATACGGCTCTGGCAAACACACACCAACCCAGCAAGATCAACATGACGCATCCGCACGGAAATGCGGCGATCTGAGTCAAACTGCGGGCTCAAATCGTTCGGGTCCACTTTTCGGGGTCCAAGTTGCGGGTACTGGGAAATCAACAGCAACTTTCCGTCTACCGCCACACGCGTCATGGTTCCCAGTGCGGGATCATCACGGACGTCATGGATTTCAAACTTTGGTAAACTCTGAACGCCTGCAACACTCGCGGCACAACGAGACCAAGCGGCGTGCGCAAGAGAACCCCTCCCAAATGCAAAACGTAGCATCAATCGTTATTTATTTATTTATTATATTTCCCCGTCCCCAAAGTTCCTTGGTAATTATTGCTATTCACTTCTCGTTGGTTTGTTGGATTCGCTGGTACTATTCTTCCCCCCTTTTCTCTGTTCCTTTCCCCCCCCCTTTCTGACAGCTTCCCTCTCTGCTGCCAAAATTCTGTCACTGTTCTTTCTACTATCCCCGTTCCTCACGCAGCAGTAATATATATATATATATGTATATAGAGAGAGACAGAGTGAGAGATTTGTATTTATATGTAAAATGAAAAAAAAAAAAAAAAAAAAAAAAAAAAAAAAAAAACATAGAGTGGAGTGAATGGGGAATGAATCCATGAAACAGCATATAACCGACGTTTCAAAAGGCTTATAAAGGGATATGATAAGAACGGGACAAAGATATCATATTAACAACAACAAAAAAAAAAAAAATCACTTAATCGATGCTGTCATGTCCCCCATTTTTATTTTCATTTTTAATTTTTTCATGTAGATACCGTCGTTTAGTTTTTATTGTTTATGGAAACGTCTATCGCTGCACCACGCACCAGCCATCATTGTCACGTTCATAGGCGTTCTTTTTACCCCTCTTTTTCCGTGAATTCTGCGAGGCATTTGCCACCGGCACACCCCCTTCTCCCTCTTCGTTACCGGTCGGCTGTATCCCTTGGGCCCCCGCCCCCAATGCACCGTCGGCGGTCGGTTCGGTTCCCTTATCGCTGTCGCCGTCGTCGTAACTACCCGCATCCACAGAAAGACGCACCGGATTCACCCGACGGTACACTTCCAAGCTAGTCAAGTACTGTTCCACCAGACTAAAGTCATTTTGGCAACAACGGCAGTACATTTCATGCAGCACATCCCCCACCTCCTTCATGCTATCGTCCTCGATCAAAACAGACCGCACTTCGGTAAAGAAATTCTCAAAAAATATTTCCAGGTCATCAGAGTACACCTCGCCCTCGGACTGAAACCAGGCAATAAGCTCCTGATACATCGATTGAAGGGCAGAAGGGTCACAGTGATGGGCAACAAGATGTAAAGCAGTCCACTGATTCAGAACAGCGTCCATGCCGCGGACAAAGGCCCGGAATTGATCCTCCGTGGCTCGGTATGGCTCTCGAACCAGCTGAAATCCCAGCGGTTGCTGTTGTTGTTGTTGCGGCTGCATGACACCCTTCCGAACAGGAAGACTACCGCCAAGAAAAACTCCAACACAAAAATTAAAATATACATTAAAAAACAAAGCAAAAAGAAGATATGTTCTTTGTTTGACGGCACGCAATAAGGGTGTAGGACGACAAACAGAAGAAAAAAAATAAAATAATTTGGGCCCAAAATTGTCTTTGCTGCCCCTTCCCACATTCACGGCTCGGACTCCCAAAAGGACAAGGCCCATGTTGCCTTCATATTCCAAAGAAGCGCGGTCGACAAAGTCTCCCAAACAACAATTCCTCCTCCAGTTAACAAAGCGCTAAACGCCCCGTACAAAAAAAAGAAAGAAAAAAAAAAAAGGCCGGCGTGGCTACGGCGCGTACCCCTCGTCGCTAAGGTGGATGGCAGTAGAGGCAAATTATTGGGGAGAAGCCTCCAATCAGCAGAAGAAACAAAACAACTTTCCCGGTTAAACCTTCAAATCGTCCTCTCAAGGAGATCGGCATGGCGCTCCTCTGAGTGTTAAAAAAGACAAAAGCCCGCACGGCAACAGTCATGCGGAAGACCAAATGCATCCCGCACCTGTCGCTACAAAAAATATCCCGCATCATCCGTTGCAAATTCTAGCAAATCCCCCCAAGGCAGGGATGCATCCCCTCGATTGCGGCAACTGCGCAGAAAGTCAGCTGACCAATTTCATCACCAAACAACCGCAGCGAGGCACGCGTCCCGTCAAACCGCACTTGACAAGTCGCGAAAACAACTGTGCGTTCCGACGCAGTAAAAGTCTTTTGGTCTTTGGCACGCCGCGCGGCGTCCAACACATCCTCTAACTGCAAATTCGATGATTCCGTCCTGTTTTTTTTTTGTTGTTGTTTGTTTGTTTTTTGGCGAAATTCATCGCATCATTCTCCGTCTGTTGCATGAAATCTGTACAATCCTGGATGGTCTTCGCTGCAGAATTTTCCTTTTAACAACTTATCAAAATAAAAATAAAAATTTTATCGTGGCGCTAATAAAATGCCGTGTTTTGCCGCAAGGCCTTCCGCACATCTCTTCCTCCAGGTTTTACTGCCGCTGAAAGAGGGATATAAAAGCCCCTTCTCGCAAAGCACTTCTCGGGCCGCCGTCGATATCCACGGATGGGCAAAAACCACGTCGTATCCCTCAGCCGGTACGCATTGCCCAAAATCCACTGTCTACGCCTAACCCTTAAAAAAACAAAGCCCTTTGGAGGTAACCAAACATAACCTCACACTCTGCGTCCAAATCCGTGTCATTCCCTTCAGGCATGCCTCTAAAATGGCGCCCCACTAGTAATTAAGGGAAAAAATAAAGCATACACACAGAAAAAAAAAAAAAAAAATGTAATATTTTAAAAAAAGGAGAAGGATGGTACAATGGTCATGCAAAAAGAAATAAATTCAACAGGGAAAGTACAACCAACAATGGCCGGCAGCAAGGAAATACATACGAATATATGCACAAAAAGACAGAGGAACCAAAGGCTCCCATAAGAGAGAGTTGCCTGATACACAATGCTGGATAATCCAATAACAAAAACAAAAAGGTAATAGCCCGAGAAGTCTCTGTGTATTCCCACGTATGCGTACCTTTGAGAGCACCTCTATTGGGCATAAAAGCTCCTTCTATTTAATAATCATTTCCCTCCCGCCATGAGACAGTCGCGAAGCTCACATACGGCGCTGTTTTGCCGACCACATCCATGATGTACTCCAAGTTGCTTCCTCTTCCCTCATCATAATTTTTTTTCTCTTATAATCCCTCGCCCACCTCCTTTTATTTCTTTGGCCACCCACACATCTCTACTCTCTTCATACCCTTCCGCTCACAGAGAAAGATGCAAAATTTGGTCCTCTTGTCTGTGGTGAATGAATGGAAGGGTTGGCGTCTGTGTGTGTGTGTGTGTGTGTGTGTGTGTTTGTATGTGTTTGCCCTTTCCTTTGCTCTCTCCCAAGATAAGGATGGGAGTGTCTAAACTCCGACTGCCCGCATAAACACCTCTCTTTGGCACAAACACAGTCAAAAAAAAAATTTATTTTTTTTTTTTTTTTTCCTTTCCTCCTTTTCTCTCTTCCCTTTTTCCTCTTTACTTCAAATTCCTGGCAGATCAATTTCGTCATCGTCCTCGTGAGTTTGCTTTTCCTCAGACAGGGAAATGCGTGGTTCGTCCAACTCATCCTCCCTCATCATATCACCCACTCTATTGGTTAAAGCACTAACGGCGCGTCGACCAGCTGCTGCGTGAGTCCCGCCCTTGGCTTCCTCATCCTCATCCCGATAACCCCCTTCATCTGTCTCCTCCTGTTGGCGCTGTTCCAGCTTCTTGATCTTTTTAAACCATTCATTCGCCTCTTCGATAAGACCGGCATCTTTACACAAATGGACTAAGTAGCGCAGGCATTCCATATTTTCCGGGTATTTGCGGTACACAGCCTCATATAGACGTTTGGCTTGTATATAATCCCCACGGCGTCTGTGACATGATGCCACCATCAACTGCCACTTTACTTCAAGGGGTTGAATTTGTGAGGCACGTTCAAAAAACTGAATGGCCTTGTCGTAAATCTCATTCTTCACAAAATAGGCACCCAGCCAAGAAATGACATCCATGTTTACCTGATAATAACGGTATGCCTCTAGATAATAATGAAAGGCTTGACTGTCGTCTCCTTCACGGGCATAAAGAGAACCCATTCGCGCCAAAATATTTGGATCCGTGGGCACGCGTCCAATGA